CGGCTTCCGTATAGGATTCCGCAGCCTGTCGAGCTGATATCCTCCTCACTGAGAATCTAGATCAGAGTCTTATGTACTGTAGTTAAGATTGAGAAATTCAGTTTAGGCATTAATGGCGGAGGGACAGGGCACAAGTCGACCACAGACCGCATCGATTGTTTGGGACAGCTTTCGGGATCGGGAAAGAGATGGCGTGAAAGGACGAGCCCTGAGCAAGGGCATGGAAGCAAGGGAAAAAAACAGGGACAGTCGCGGGGGAGGAGAGGGAAATAGAGAAAGAGAGACGGAAGACGGTGAGAGGAGGAGAAGGTTGACGGAGAAGAGAGACGGCATACGAATGGGGAGCTGACGCTCGAGAACGGCAGGGAATGAGATGGTCAGAGCCTCGTTTTGTGCGGATCGGCTCCTCGAGAGACGAGGAATTTTCGTCGGAGAATGGACGCTCTCGGAAGTTGAGGAATGCGCTGCTCGGTCTGGTTAGGAGCTCATCGTCCTCCCGGTAGCTTGATAGAATGTCGGGGAGACCTTGACATATAGAATGACCGGCAGCGGAGGAATTAAACGACCCCTAACAGGTGATAACAGCTTTGAACTCTGAAGCGGGACCGATAGCATTAGGAGACGAGTGGAAGCAGAGAAGAGCAGCAGAATTGAATGAGCCGAGGAATATAGGAGCAGGTCAGGGGAGCGTAGCGTCGGGGAAAGGCGAGGGGAATCCCATGGGCTGTCCGGACCGTTCCCTCTGGCAGCCTTCGTCTCCGAATTCCTGTATAGGCTTCTCATCCATCATTCATTCGACTTGAATCGCTCGATTCCGCAGGATCCACAAGCCCGAATAATGCGGAATTCTCGCGAATAAGGGGATTCAAAACCCGCATCCTCGGGGCGGTGTCGCCGACCCTTTCGGCGCTGATAATCAGGAGAGGCGACTCTGTGTCCATCTGATTCTCGTCGGAGCTGCAAGTTCAAAAGCCAAAACTTCAGTGGTCCCTCCGTCCCCGATACACCATCAAGTCCATAATGACAGATCTTTGGAAGAATCTTGATCGAGGACAGAGAATTCTCGAATGATTTTCGAGTCTCCTCGCGGTGACTACGCTCGTAGACCCCGGGGCTGATTCCGGGATTAGGAACTCGAATCATGGATTTCCCAACTTGCGAGGACCCCAAAATTCTTCCCCTTCTCGAGAACCGAAATTTGAGCGGCTCAAGATCTCTCTAGGGAACCCATTGAATCAGTTTTGGTATATCGACTCCCTTCCACCGGAGGGATTAGGGAGACGATATGCCCCGCTCCCCGAGGCAGGAGCGATCAAGAAGTCTGACACCTTATCTAGCGTATGCGCCGGTTCTCTCCGTATGTGAACAAAGCTATCGGATATCACGTGCTCCGATGGGTCGATTATCATTTCATGATAGCTAAAAAATCTTACGATTCGCTGAGAGGAGGAAACTCTCCAATCGACTTCTGAGTAGATTTGCCTTCCCCTGGGAATCAGCTCAATCTGTGACGATGTGAGATATTCCGGAACCGGGAAGAACGTGATGAGATCCTTGTCTGTCGCTCCTGCCGGGGGGACCCTGTTCGCGCCTCCCCAGGTACAAACATCCTGGTAACACGGCGCGGCGCGCGTCGTACTGATAATGCGATTTCGCTATCACTCTCAATCATGAAGAATCTCCGGCGAATAATTCCGATCATCGCGTATTCATATCGAAATTCTACTAAATTTTCTAAGTCTAAAAATGATCCCGATGCTGGCCAACATCGGACGAATTCGGAAAAATTCAAAAAGCTCATCGGGCTTGTCCTGTGTGGTTGAATTTTCTTTTTATTAATTTGTCAACTTTCAACATCTCCTCTTCACCGCTCACTCGCCGGAGAGCACTTGGCTTTGGGTAACACTTTAGTTTAATAGTAGTACAAAGAGTTTTCGAGCATTTGTCATAGGTCATAACATTGTTGCAGATCAGGAAACAACGAGGGGCTGGAATCCTCTGAGTTTGGAGGAATAGAATCTAAATCCTGAGTCCTAAAATCATCCTCGAATCGCGACTCGACTCTTACAATCGATCCGGCGCCTTGACTCTGAGGGACAGAGAATTCGCTGCGACAGAACTGGGGGGAATTGACTGATGTTTGAGCACGGATGTTCACTGCTCGTAGCGCCGCAGAACTATGTGGAGCGTCGAACGGACCAGCAGACACACTCTCGAAGAACCGTAATCAACAATTTACAACCTTTTCTACAACAAACCAGAAGGCTTCTCTCGAATGCTGCTCCGGGGAAAGCTCCAGGATCTGCACTCGGAGCGCTTCGGAAGAGCCTCGAACGAAGTCGACTCAGAGAGCGACGCCACTCCTTAGGCAATAGCTTTTTGTGGATTTGAGAACGCTAGATTTCCAGGAGCAGTGCCATGCCATATATCCTTACGAAGGTACTTTGAGCGCTTCATTTTCGTCAACTTCAACTGTTTTTCGTTCAACTAATGACGCGATGTGACGTTTTCAAACATCGGCTACCTATATCCGAACAAGAATATATACATAGCAAGAGTCATACAATCGTTGGAATATCTGACGGATCTTCTTATCACGTTTGACCCGCCATGTTTGTATGTATATCTGGTTGTCTATATACCCCAGTATCCTTTCAAACGCAACGATCCCCATGTTGCAATGGAGTCTCCGAGTGGAGCGTTTGAAAAAACACCCATATACTCCTCAAGTGTGCGCCGCCCATAAGCCCTCGCAACTGAAATTTCCCACAAGGTAGGCGGAATTCCCAAGAGAAAGAGTTCGCCATTAGTCTGGATGGTAGCTTTCGAGTTTTGGAGGCAGAGGAATTAAAGCTGAAGACGTATGCGACTCGATTCCTCGAAAGTTCATCCATAAACGTTTGTCGAATAGTAGGACCTCTCCGCGGGGACTCGTGTACATATGTACAAGGGACAGTCATTTATGGCACGCCCGGCTCGACTCGGCTCCGTGGTTCCCTAGGATCGATTTTCTCGGATCTAACGAACTTTTGATCAACGCAGATCTCCCTCCGCAGCCCATCGGGCACCCCTCGGAGAAGACTCCACAAATTAGACAAATTCCTCAGACAAATTCTCTTGCAGAGTTCGTTAGCGTGACTCGCGAGTTCTTTTCCGAACTGTATGCTCTTTCAAACTGTTTCCAGACTGATTATTGGGCAGTCTTATTCGGACTCGATCAAGAAATCTCATGAATTTGGTTTGTGGTAGTCTTCGATAGGGCGTGAAATCATATTTAGCATTCGTTACCCTCGTCCTGCCCTGAAGATTAGCTCACTTGTCCTTCCACAAAAGAGCCACACCTCTGCCAGGAGTCCCGGATCTCTTCAAAGAGTCCCGTTCGGTGCTTCTTACGGCTTTGATAAACGTAACAAAAATCCGGGAACTGTATACAACATTCGGTGACCCGCGGGCGGATCCCAATAAGACCCGCTGTCCTACGCTCATCCCATGCTTCCTCCATCTTCTGGACCTCAGAGCGACCCACGTCTTCACGGAAATTCACAAGAGTCGTGTTTGGTGTCCCGTTCCCCATGGAACTCTCGAGAGGGGCTGATCTCCCCTGTGATCGTCTCTCTCCATCTCTCCGTATATGTCAGTCCGAGATATTATTCGGAGAGGAGACGACAAGGACAGTCCAAGTCGTTTCAGGGACGGCGAGTCTTCGAACGAATGCTAGTCGGAATCTGATCCGCTGCGACATCGGAGTCTGGACACGGGCCCTTTCATAGAACCGAAAATCCATCGGGAGAGCCCATGCTGAGCATCAGAGTTCCGGTAGGCAGTGCATGGATTAGCTCCGGAATAGAGTACTTGAATAGGGAACCCGAAACCTCGTTTTGCCAGACGTGCAAACGCCGATCTCACCTCAACTCGAACCATATTCTGTCCAATGTGAGATACGGAAGTCGAGAGATATCTACGGTTTCAATCAAATAACTCCGGCCGTCAACAAGTCCGGATAGCAGAAATTCGCACCAGGAGAATCGCTCCTCAAAACTTGAGAATAGGCTTGTCTCTGATTTCACATCGAGACCCCTCAGCGACAACATATTAGATTAGATTCACTCAAGACTCTATTGTGTGCGCACAATCTCAATTTTCCTGCGCTGCTCGCATGTAACCGATCCAGAATTACTACGCAATGAAATCATGCTTGGAGATAATTTCCAAGCACTTATTCGGCAGTAAAATAGTACAAACGCAGAGATTCAATAAGTATGCGTTCGGGCGTCGAGTTGAGAAACTTCTGGAATTCCCCGGAGCCATTTGTAGCTATCAAAAATCGAAAGAACAAGCTCTCCAGAGAATTCGACTCACTTGTTTTCCTAGGATCGGTGAACATTTGTTTTCATGTTCACTGCAGGGAACGGATCTTCCCCCGCCGCCGCAATCCGCTACGGGCTACCGCGGGACCATTCATCAGATCCTGATTCCGATCGAATAAACATTTGCTCAAACGACACTGACTCCCCCACCAGCAGAATCCTCGGGCAACACCCGAATGAGCTGACTCCACAGACTTGGAATGTCGATTGGAATAGACAGAATAAGTTTTTGCCATATGGATCGCGCTTCCCATGGAAATCGCATCCCAGCCACCCCTAGACCGGGGAGCCCGTCTCCCTTTCCAGGAATCGGGGAATACGTCAAGAGACCCATTATTACAGCCATCTATTACAGATCAAGTCCCTGGAATGATGGTCCTATAAGACCATGAGGCCTTGGAATGCATTGATAAGCTCCGCCTATACCACACTCTCCCGTTCTTGCATCGTTTTTTTTTTCAATTCACAGTCGAAATTCCGTTCCGCTAGGCGTACCCTGTAACTGAGAGAATCCAGTCTCACATTATCATAAAAATTCATCTCTCGAATCTCATAGCCTATCCAACGATCTCGATGAGCTTTTGTAAATGAGGAAGCAATGCTCCGTATTGAGAACTCCTTGTCTGGGTGCGCTCAAGAGAATGGGGCGGTAAAATTGTCCCAACAGATTTTGAGGGTCAATATGTTCTTGAACGCTTTGCGGTACTCCTGGTTGTAGTACGTATAAATGAAAGGGTTGAGCGCCGAGTTGAAGTAGCCAAGCCACACGAAGAAGTTCATCCACATGTCGGGAATAGAGCAGATCGTACAAAACGGCAGAGTGACGTACATTAGAAAGAATGGAAGCCAGCACACAACGAACACACCGACGACGATTCCGAGCGTGCGAGCCGCCCGCCGTTCTTTTGCTAAACATATTCGTTGACGCTCGTCAAAATTCGCTTTGACGTTCAAAGCCGCCCCGCACCGACTGAGCGGTTGGGGGTCCGGAACGTCGATTGCAGCCACGTTGCCTCCGCGAGATCCAGTAGAACAGGACGGTCCAGCACCTGAGTCTGAGTCACCTCCTGCAGACGGTCCTCCTGCTGCTTCCTCACCGTTCGGTTGGGCAGCTGCTCCAGGCTGAAGAGATGGGAGCGGAATCTGAAGTGGAAGAGGATCGTTTTCGGAAACAACATCTCCTCAGGAGAATACTGAAATCCGCACACAGGCTGTTTTTTCTAATTTTGGGCGGAAATGAGCTCCGAATCGCCGGATACTCGGTCAAATGAACCGTTTCTTTTTCAAAAAGAGCTCTATGAATGAAATCTCGCATCGAACTCAGAGAGAGCACAGCTACTCTGCTGGAGAACTTCGAGTCAATTCGTTGCTCATCGCTCTGCTCGGAGGGGAAAATCAAGCATCGACAACGAGACTCACCCTGGCCGCCGCTTCAGCCCTCTGTCTAAGCCGTTTCCTCTGCGAGAGGAAGATCTTCACGTACATGATACACATGAGAGCTAGCGGAGAATAGAATGAACTGAGAGCCGAGAATAGAACGTAGTATTTCTCTGATGATAATTCACATTTGCCCGGGAAGTCTTTTTCGTGCCAGTCGTTCCAGCCAACAAGAGGCGGGACCGACACGGCCAGTGATATTAGCCACACAATGGCTATGTGTCTGAGAACTCGGCCCATCGTTCTCTTGTGCACGTATTCGAGCGGATCGTTTATTGCACAATGCCTGGAAAGAGGAAAAGTTGAATTGAGTTCCGATAGCGCAACGCGTGTCTGATCCTCCCGACACGACCGGGGAGGCAAATTTCATCATCGGGATCGAATCATCGAGTTGGGCTTGGAGCTCCTCCGAGAGAAAACTCGACAGAAAACATTGCTCCTGCTAGCGCCTTTGAGCTGAGGCGCCGCTAGGTCATCTGATGAGCTGATGTCATGCTCAATTTCGGAACTTTCATCACCACCACAGCTCGGAGAGGGAACGCAATTTTCCTGAGGGGAAACTAATTGAATCTTTGGGAAACTTACCGGTCTATAGCGATTGCACACAGGTTCAGTATAGAAGAAGTGCAACACAGCACGTCGAATGTCAGCCACAATTTGCAGGGAAGAATCCCAAACACCCAGTTTTTCCCGTCTAGGTGATAAATCACATTGAAAGGCGTCACAAAAAGACCGACCGTCACATCCGAGGAGGCCAGCGATACCACAAATAGGTTTTGCACTTGTCGCAAGGGCTTGTGGGTGAATATGGAGAGTATCACCAGGAGATTTCCCACCACTATTATTAGGATGATGAGAATTTTGATGAACGCTATCAGCCCGATTGATATTTCTGTGTCGAAGACGCCCTGCAAACGCAGAAGAAAACCCTTCACTGAGAAACTCGGCTTAACTTTAGGCGATTTTTGATTCCGATCACGGATTTTCTTCCCTCGGATGCGTCTCGTCCGATGCCGGGACAATCATCGTCCGGTGCCTAAATAATTTTCCCTCCCTCGATTTTCAGGTCAGGGCGAGGCACCCGTACAGACGGCAGATTTTCATTCCGTACGCCCCCATGCGCAGCGCCGAATTTAATATCTCTTCGACTCTTGTGATCGAAACAGGTTCAATAAGAGCCATCGTCGGCTTCCAACTTTCTTCCGCGGCGCATGCAAAACCTTCTCGCGCTCGGTGTGACACGAATCGGTCCGATTTGCCTGCGTGGGACTTCTGTCGCATAAAGCCGAGCTGATCACAGGGAACTCCGTTCCAGAGCAGACGACATGCCTCCGTTGGCGCAGAGAGTTTTCGCTTCGGAGGAGGCCAGGGAAAGATTCACATCGATAGTGGACCGCTCCCAGGAGCGCGGGGAGGCGCTGGGAGCAAGAGCAAGCACCCAACACCGACCGAAAGTCCGCGATCCGCGATCAGACTCGTGATCCTGAGACATGTGAGCATTCGCAGCCAGCATGAGACAGGGAACAACAGCTTCCGTAGAAGGAACAGGCATTATCGAGGGGAAATATGAAAACGCAAGAGATTCTGAAACCTCCCCCAGTCGGCTTCCCGAGCATCATAGGGTGCAGAGATTGGGCCAGGCCGGATTCGGGACCCATGACACGAGGTGGAAGAAGTAAAGTACAATCCGTCCCGAATGTTCGCTCAGGCATTCTTCCTCCTTCTTCAAAACCTCATTCCGATCGTTCCCGCGAATCCCAGGCGCTCATCTGAAATCTGAGAGGATATCGCTTGCACCGATCGGATCACCAGCATCGTCGCCGCAAGTCGAAATTCATTGGGAACGTTTTTCGGCTTGACTCTTAGCTCGACGGGAACGGAACACTGGGATCGACGTCGATCTCGATCATCCCGCGCCCTCGGGAAGACTGCATAAGTCTGATCGAACAGAGTAGTCTGAGATTATTCCTTTGATTCGAGCGAAGTAGGCGAAAATCTCGCGCGCTCGTTTCAAAGAAAACTGTGCAGCGATTCCTCAGGTTGGCGGAGATTCTTTCCCGCGCATCGAATATGCTCATCCGGACGAGAACGGACGAGAGGGGTTCGTGGGAGAAGCGTGAACGAGACTGCCTGTCAATGGAATCGCTGCTCGGAAAGGGTATGTCTCCTCGAAAGCTCAGGGGAAGACGTCTGTAGCAGCGCCACGATTTCCTTACGAAAATCCCGGAAGGAAATCGATGTCTGTACGCGGCGATTCGACCGTCACCTTGACGGCGGCGGTGCCGATGGTGGCGTCGACGGCTCGGGAATCGATGCGACGAGGAAGGAGCAAATGCCGACGAGTGCAGTTCATCGAGGAGAGGAATAACGAGAAACGTTAGCGGAATTGTTGAATTCCCATTCACTTGTCACTTCGAATGAATGCTTCGACCTTCTTGAAGGGGCTCACGGTGCGTTTCCGCTCCCACCGGGACTCGAGACCTTCAAGATAAAAATTGCACAGGGCGCCTGCCGGCAAACTCTATTCTCCTTCCTTGCGAGACGACTTCTGTTTGAGGCTCACGTGCTCGCCGGACGTTTCTTGGAGAACAAATATAATTTCCCCCAGATGATTCCCTCCGGAATCTATCCCGATTGCAGTCGCATCAGATCATGCCGCTTCCGCAATTACATGTACAGAGTCGCTTAGTTTGCCCAAACGCATTTTCCGTCGGCCATGCTCTCCGGCGCTCGCTACTCCTCCGTCGGCTGATCGTTTCCGTCGCCGCGCGATGTGTCGAAACGGAGTGGGGCACCTATAGCTCTTTTTTCCCCAATGCGTTTCCACATTGGGCTCGACCTCGCTGTCAGCCGGGCAGTGATCGACCGACGCATTTCAATGTCCTCTTCCCGGCCGCGAACCCACCGTCCCGACTCAACGAACACTGCTCGGAACCGAACTAACGCTTCAAAGACGGCGCTCATGACGGTGGGCACCGCTGACTTGTGATCGCCCGGTGGGTCGTCGATCGGTCACTCGCCGCAGGTGAACCCCGACTGACGGCCCTGGCTTGGCCCCTAGGAACTGATATAATGGTTGAAGCGGCCCTTAACGAAAGAGTCGGGATCAAGCTGGTCAGAGGCGGCGTCATCATCCCCGCAGGAGGACGCTCTCCCTTCGTACACGCGAGGCATTGGATAATCATGATAAGCCGATCAGAGTTTCGCTCCCAGAGAAAATTTGAAAACGCGCAGTGGCTTCTACTAGCGGGATTTTCCGCAAAGACCCGTCATCAGCACCCGCTTAGAGGTAATTGGTAATCTGGAAACTGGCGGAGCTCAGAATGTGAGGAAATCTCCACGAGCCCCATGATCTGGGGCAGAGCATGAAATTCTGGCGGAGCAGCGTCTGTTGGATGCAGCTCCCTATTTTCACTCTTTCCCTCGCTGAGCTCGGAGAAGCTCTTGTGCGAACAGCTGTCATGGGAAATTGTCTTCTCTCAATGAGCATTGCGCGAGGTCGATCTCGAGGGTGAATCTCGAGCGTCGGGGAAATTCAGCGATCGCGCGGAGTTTTTCCCGCTACCTCGCCCCGAGTCGTGTTGCTCACCGCAGCCATTTCTTTGGACCAGAATAGGGTCCGGCCCACGGTAGGTAATGAATCCCGGATTCAAGTCTGACAATGAATCGCAGTGGAACATTTCTCATTCGGCAACCGGTCGGCTCCGCAATGGGGCTGCTCCCGCAGTCCGAAGGTCCCGTCGCCATTGTGACCATCTCCTCTTCAGCCGGCCAGACAGCTACCCATTTTTTTTGGGATTATTTTAGACGCGTCAGTTCCGACGAGTGACGTCACCAGCCCATGGACTACTATGAACAACGACTAACGCTCGGAACTAAGCCATAAGTCGATCGTTATGACTTGACTGATCTAAATATTTATGAAATCGATTGGGTATCTTCATGAACCGGTCTCGAGGCTTTGTATCCGCGCTCGCTACATGGAAATTATCAGTCTCGCCTTCGTAGGGTGTTTCCTCTTCATCCCTTAGGACCATAGTCATTTGGTTCCTTGATCAGTAGGATGGAAAGCGTCGATTCGATCGGATCGATGAGACAGCGAGACTTGCTTGTGCCAACAAACAAGAGTTCCACCTGTACGAATAGATTATTGGCTCTCGTCGCGAAACGCACTCAAGCTAATATAATCGACTGCTGAGCTAAGCGGAACTGCCACCTCAGATTCGCAATTTGACGTGTCGAATCGAGCAGGTGATTTTGACATCGCTCCCCCGCGTGAAGCCTCTACCGGCTGAGTCAGTTTCCCCCACCGGTTTCGTGGACCATGGAATTAATTCCATATGTCTCCTCGGCGTCGGCTCAAATCGTTCGCCTTGTTCCGGAATATGTTCGCAGGTGATAGACGAGATGCGGAACGCTTCGAGCTGAATTCTCTTCCAAGCTGTCCATCTCACGGGCTCCCCCCGCACAGAACTCTGTCCTCATTCGGAAGGAAAGAAGAACGAAGATAGTTCTCATTCGTGAAGACTTCCTCTCCGAATTAGGGCGGAGAGGCTCGCTGATCAAGACGTAATCGATGAGAACTACTTCGTGCCATGAGTGCGGAATGCTTCGGATCGCCTACAAAGATCCGCACAGTCCCGTTACGAATTCTGTGTCACCCATCCTGACGGAGTTCGCATCCCCGTTACGAATCAGTTCCGGGACTAATCCCCGGAGGTCGTGCTCGTTACCCCCGCATTCGACTCTCCGTCCGACCCCCCTTGGCCTCTCCCCGGGAAGCTTCCCAGCTGCCATCTCGGAGATTCTGGATTCCTAGCAAGAGCTCTCGACGTTTCCTCATGCATGTGCCGTACTGGCGCGAAGTCTGACGACTCCTCGATATTAGTTCATCTCCCGAGGCGAATGAGCAGTCGAGATTGTTGCTCAGCTGCGCCCTGCATAAGACTCCGGAAGAGAGATCCGCCCCGTTATCGCCGACAGGGTTGAGCATGGGGGGCAGCATATTGCATCCAGGCTGGCTCACGAGCCCACAAGGGAACAAACGATGCTCACCTGACTCGGTTTCAGGCAACATGGAAAAATTACCCACGGGAGGTTCCACCGAGGAGCGAAAAAGTTTGATAGCGATTCCGAGGTCGGTAACGGTCACTCCTCGGGTTTCCTCGAGGCCGGGCCCACCGTGAGCTGAGCATCAAGTGATCTTAGATCATATCGGAGAATCATCCGGAATGCCCAGGGGGAATGACGTTTTCTGATTCCGTTCACAGGAACTAGTTCGGTGCTGAGAGACTCACGTGTAAGAAAAGTTTCATTTCCTCCGGGAGTTTCACAATTTCGAGCGATAAAGCAGCTCCTTTCGGAATCCCCGCATCAAAACCTGGAGAAGGAATAAAACTCTGATCGCACGTATCTGCCCTGAAATTGGGCCGATTCCGGCGAACGAAATTGAAAATATCCGACCCTCCCTCAGCTCCGAACGAGAAAAAAAGAGCTGGAATCGCTCATGATTGGCTGAGAGACGAACTCCCAAAGTTCAACGGATTCGACCGTTCCCGAGGCTAGAGTCTCTCAGGAACATATCCTTTCTCCAGGCCACAGCACGATCTGAAGGTGAGTCTGTTATGTTCTTCAATACCGAGTAGCAACACCAAGAAAATTCAAGCTCCCGTCGCGACACAAAATCTACGATCCCAAAATTATTGAAGTAGGAGCTTAGCGGGGCATATGTTCACTCCTCCGAAGAACGGCTCGCTGGAATGGACCATCTCTTTCCGCGTCAGCATGCCTCGGATTGGTGGGAAACGCCCAAATCGTGTGCCTTTCCCAATGAGGAGTCGTGAGATCATTTTCGTAGAATTGAGCACAGCACTTTCTTCCAATACAGGGAAGCTCGACGCGAGAAGAGGTCTGGCACACGTTCACCTGAACGATTTGCAGAGCGCTCCTCATGATACTATCTGAACTGAGCAGGCGGCGGGTTTGAGGACTCGAAAACGCACCGAGCCCCGCGGGGACGCCACTTAGATATATATGGGACGATCTCCAAAAAGTTCCGAGAGTTCCATAAATCAACGAAATTTACGGCTATGTTGAGCTCAGCCATCAAATTGGATCCCTCCGACCACTTTAAGCAGACCTCTAGATCTCAGTAGAACGATTCCGGAAACAAGGGACATGACTGCTTAGCATGAGGATTGATCCATTCGCTCCGGGGAGTTCTCGGAGAAAACCTCAATCATCAAAATATTCCCGTTAACGAGCTCCTTCCCCGCACCACCCTCTCCTGATTGAGAGTGCGTCAATCCGCCGTCGACAATATAATTGAGTCAAGCAAATCTCCACGGAGAGAGGAGAGAAAATCTGATTTCGAATCTCAGCGTCGTGGCGATTAGGCAGATTCAGGATCTCGCGGCACGAGACTCGGCTGTGGCTGTGAAATCGACGCCGATTCTTCGCAAGGATCCGGTGCGACAGAAATAAACTCGGCTGCCCTCACAATGGTCTACGGCTCCGACTTAGCGGAGCAAAACATTCTGACAAGTTGGTCACGACTCATGATAGTCTCGAGCGCCGTAAGGAGGTCAGTGAGAGGGGCAAACCGTCAGCGTGCCTTCGAAGGAGAGGAAAGAAGCATCAGCATCAGAGCGAGGAGAAAGAAAAATGAGCTGCTGGCTCATGGTCCTTATTCGGCGAATCCCATCTGGCGTTTCAATGATCTTTCGATGCGTGCAGACCCTTTCAGTGCGTTGACGTGCGCGGACCTGAGCAGATTGCTCGTTCGAGATCCGAGGCCGAGAATTCTGCCTCTGACATTTCCGACCCTCGTGTTCTGGAGTACCCTTCGCGAGTGAGAACGGGAAGGGAAACAGAAAAAACGCTCACAGCGCCCTCTGCACATCCCTCGGTCAAAGTCACAGAACAGGTGGCTGTCGAGGGGTTCAGTGGCAATACAACAATCACGAAAACTCCGGTTCGGAATAGAGCGGGCGAGCGGTGTTCACCGATACAGCCCCTTGGCATTCCGGGCATGGCTGATTGTGAGCTCGTTCCGGGGAACTTCTTTGAGAGCATCGTCGTCACAGCAGGCTCGTGAGAGAATGTCGCCCGTTCGATTTTCGCGATGAGCTCCGTCCGAAAATCCGGGAACAGAACTTCTGGGAGCATAGATATCCGGCGTGGAGGAACGTGCATGCTCCCCCATTCCGAGGGAGTTGAGTCCCGGAAGTCTCCGATACGAGCTCTCGCGAGAGCACGCGAGCATCGAGATCGCTCGAAATCACTTTATTCCTGGTGGCTCGGCGGCGGTCTGTCTGGACGGCATCGGAATTGATGGTTTCCTTCGACCACTCCAATAGATGATCCCCCGGTGACCATATCCGCGGTCGACACTCACCCAGAAGTCTGTCCAATTACTCTGATCCTCTTCCAGATAGTCGAAAGGAACAATCTTCCGATCACTAAACAAAGCGGTTGTCACAACATCACTCACAGTCGTTGGTAAAATTATTGGACTGAGACCCGACTCGTTAAGCATGGCGGCAAAAATCTTCGCAGAGCTACGCTCCGGGCCTGGAAGCACCACCATGCTTATCGGAGCCGGTCTCGAGCGTCACAGCTCCCGTGCACCAGCCCACGACAGTGTGACAGGCGGACGATTTTCTAATCGGTCAAGTGAACCGTACTTCGAGCGCTCACTAAACACTCTTTGGATAAACACGGCCGGCTGGCCAACCTGGAAGACTTCGCGCCCCTGAATGAGAGGAAAGGACCACACCGAGATGGAAGCGGTCCAGTCGATCACGGGGAGAACACGCACCAATGAGAGGAAGGGAAACCTCCATCCAAGCCATCCGGCCTCCGCCATTCAGACAGCGCAGAGAGTGCTGGAGAGACTGCAGCACGGCTTCTTCGTGGCTCGACGCCGGAGTTCGAAATTGGAGGTCTTGAGTGGCGACAATACTTTGGAGTCACATCGGATTCGAGTCGAACCCGCTGACAGCTGATCGGTGACGATGGTCTCTCTAAAAGCCGGGGAGACTTCTTCTTTTCGTTCGTGGGAATCGGAAGGAGAAGCTGTTGATCGGAGCCACTCGAAAGCTCCGCAAGTGGTTGTCGGAAGTTTTCGTTGACGGTCGTTCAGCGAGATCCACTTGTCGAGAATTGATCAGAGCTGGACCGGTCGTCGTACAAGCTCTGCTCATTTCCTCCTAGGAAGAATTCACCATCGACAGGTGGAGACCACGAAATGAATGATGGTGAAAACTCCATTTTCATGCAGCTGAATTCTCTTCCAGATGCCGGATTCCGCTGGACCTCTGCCCTGATTGGGTCAAGCATCACGATTCCAAACATCGCGATTCTTCTTACGACCCTGTCGAGCCTCGGAGAGCCGGGAAAACCCCTGACGGCGCCTAATGAAACTAATGAAACTGCAAAAGGAACTCGGAGTTGATTTTCCTTTCGCGTTGAGCGACTTGCAAAGGGGCGACCCTATAGTTCGACTTGGAGGGCTTAGGTCGAGCTGTTTGGACTGATCTCCCTGAGTGAAAAGATCGCGGGATGATCGTCGTCGGAATCTAAGTGGGAGGCGCCGGAACACGGACGGGGTTTGCAGCGGGCATCTGAAAATCAAGTTCCGACTTCGATCTGGTTCTCTCAGCCACCACTCCGGAAAAAAACAAATACGGAGAAATATGTAGATCGAATTTGCTTCTCATTCCATGCCGCGTCTGGGAGGTTTTCCTGGAGCAGCCTCGAGCTGTGATCTGTGTCTTTCTAGCTGGGATATATTCAGCGGGGAGCTGCTACGTATTCCAACATTCGCCTCAATCAAGAGTCAGGGGAACAAAGTCAGGATAATCCGCGCATGCATGTATTCCCACTCATGCGATGCTCGTAGCTCCGAGCCGTCGCATCAGCTTACTTTGGAAGTTGTCGCAAAGCAGAAACTGGAGAAACCGACACCAAAGCCGAAACTTAATGTTCGGCCAATTCCCAACTGTCTCGGAATCGGCTTTTCGGCACGGCCCAGTTTATATATCAACCGGTGGCTCGCCGGAAATTGAAGGATCATGGAGATGGCTCGGCCGGGCCTTCCGCGCCATTAGCTACTGTCAACAGTCTGTATTTCCGTCATTTCCCTCGAATTCAATTAGGGAGATCTTGTCTCCCCGAAGAAACACGGAGCACCATTGCTGTCACAGCATCAAGAGGATGGGAATGATTCCGAACGAATGCAAGGCTGAAGATTGCGGACATTCACAATTGAATCTTCCCAGACGGGGGGGGGGAGATTTAGGTTCTGACTCGACTTCGTGGCTGTTCCTCAACCGCAAGAGCCGCAGGAGTGAAGACGAGGAGACAGTGGCCGTAGACGACTCTGACGAGAAACGACCGATTCAAAATCGCAACTTCCCGCAGAGTCTACCCACTTCTGATCCGTTCGATTACCAGGTCGCCCAGGATTCCCGGTAGCGCCTAATGACTCCTTGACACCCTGGCTCGGCTACTTTTTCTTCCCGAGTGCGAAGGGGGGTGATGTCCTCCTGGAAAATTTGGATCCTCCCTCACGGAGGAGTATGCACGACACGAAGGAACTCGATTGAAGATAATCAGGACGCACCTTCGAAGCGCAACAGCATACGAATAATGGGAGGAAATTCGAGAGCTTTTCTCCGCTGTAGGCGGGCCGATAGCAAACCTCCGCTTCTGAGCTGGATGGAACGCCACCTCAATAGGACCACACTCGGCCGTGCGTAGGGGCGTATAGTCGATATAGCGATGGAGTTCTCATCAAAGTGAGAGGAGGAACGTCTGAACTAAAGAGGAACATGTTCGAACCGTCGCCGTTTCCCCAAGGTCAGCGTCTGAAGCTGACCGTGACACTCTTGTGAGAGCCCATGAGAAGGTGCCGGATTGGACGCGGCTCCGGGTTCACGATCAGGGCTCGCTCGAGTAGGGGGTCGTGGAGAATCCAATACTCAATGCGGGTCTGTCCGAGCGCAATCACGGGGAATTCGGAACTGTTGTCGGAGCCAGGGTGGGGACCCTGCTGATTTTCAGCGCGCGTTCTTCCCCCGTCGAGTCCCAGGGCTTGATTGCCGCTTTTGCGAGAATCGATCGACGAACTGATTAGGCACGAAAACTCGGAGTGCAGTGAGAGCCTTCCGTGGCCCATCGATCTTGCATTCGGGTTCCCAGGACAGGGCTGCGGGGATTATAGTGGAACCGATTAGCGAATATGGCCAATAATGATAATGATAACAATAACGACTGATAAGCCGGGCCCATGCGACGGCTTTTTTGGAAGTGCCCGGAAAGCCAAACGCGAGGTCGTCACTGCCGGAAATCGTAATGTCAGCTTTTAGCAGGGACTGTTCCAGAATTCTCGATGGGTTGACTATTCCAAAGCCGCTCAATGGTCACCTCCGGGCAAATCCGGGAGTGCACGGTTCTCGCTCGCAACGGGCGTTTACGAATGCGACTCTTAGACTAATGCAGGATTGGAGGTGGGGGACCTTGAACGGAGAAAATCGAAGCCATGAGAGAGCCCAACGCGGGCCGGAGCTCTCATTAAGAAACTTAACGAAGAGTCCCGTGTAATCGATCCTAGAGGGGAGGTCGTGACGGTAATAAGGAATTTCCGTGGACTTCCCGGCTGGAGCTATCTTGGACTCAGTTCCGCTGGAAATAGGACCCCATTCACAACCTATCCCCTCAAATGAGCAGGGTCTACAACTTCGAACTCGATCATTCCGAAGAAGCAGTCATCGCCAATCGAAACTTCTTTGACTATCGGACTGGGGGCTGAGCGTTCTCTGTGTGCCGTCCTTCGCAGCACGGGGAAGAGGAGAATCGTAGAGCAGTCCTCGGCGGGAAATTTTTCCATTCGGAATTCTCATCATCGAGCCCTGGGCCCATGGACGCTTCTTGAATAATAATTATTTTAAGGCGTGAATTCTGATAATTGAGGTTGTTTACCGCGGATATATCGACCCGTCGGAATGCCTGGCCTCTTTGCATCTCTGGCGTTTTCCGAGAGGAGCAATCGTAAACGTCCAGGACGTTCGGAACTCCTGATCCTGATTCCGGGAACGGCTCTTTTTTTGCCACTCAATGTGTTGGATCAGGATCGGCGCTCACGCTCCAGCAGCAGGCCATTTTGCGAGACACGGCCGTGACTTCTGACCGCTGCTCGATTCGCAGCACCATGCGTCAGGCTCCCGCCGGCACCGTTCTCCTGGTGCGATTTCTTGAAGGGATCATGTGTGAAGGTCAGTGAGTGGCGAAGTCTGACGGGAGCTGACAGACATGCCGTTTGCCTGTCATGGAGTTAGGCTACGGGAGGGACCGCTTGAAAACTTCGGATGACATCTCGGCATGCTCGAAGACTTCCCTCGGAGTCGAATCCTTGGTCTCTTCGAGTCGGCAGACGTTCTGGTGTACACTCCTCCTAATTCCTAGACAGCTCGAAGGCAGAAAGTCTCTCTACTACGAGCGGTAAGACCTTGGTCAGAGTCAGGTAATAATCCTCAAGGTCGTCTCGAACCAATGCAGGAGGACTTCTTCAGCTCCAGGAGCATGATATTTCTCCTCCCTCGCTCCCGGAGCAGGAGCTTTGTATGGCTGTTGCAACGATGCGTCTCTCGATGCACTGCGGCTGCTCGACTTCGGAAACTCGGGACCGGGACCGCGTCCTGGTCAGATTCCCCGTCAGATGAGCGAAACAGGAAATCATTCTCAGCTCTCGCATAAACAAATACAAGGGGTGGCGCAATGTGAGGGTTTATCTCATACCAACTGAATCCAGAAGCCATCTGGGACTCCCTGGACTAGCCGCCAGTCTACATACAAGTCCGAAAACTTCCGGGAGCTGATGTGTATGTGTCTGCACAGAGAAACGATATTATCCGGACACCAAAGCCAGGGGTCAGGGCAGTCTCCGGGTTTTAAGACTCCTCTGATATTCAGACGAATGTTCTCCGGGAGACAATCTAATTGAGGCGCTCAGGTGCACAAGGAAGTCAGCCAGGTGGCTTCCGAATTGTACGCCCAGTCTGGTTGCGAAACGAAAACTCCCCAGGAATTGGGCATGCCGAGAAATACCTCCACGGCCAGATATGTGAAGGATTGCAGCACTCTCGCATCCTCGGGCTTTTAAATCTCGGCAACTGAGAACAGCTCTGACCTCGCGCGCGTGAGCGACGATCGGAGCATTTCTCCACGACGAGTCAAACTTTGAGTGCCTCGGAATAAGTTGCTCCTCGGGTTCAGTAAGGCTGTCAACACACTCGGTAGAGTGCGCTTTCAGATGAAGGAGGTCGACGACGGGAGATGTTCAATCGACGTCAGATCAAAGAACTTGTTTGGATTGTAGAAACTCGCATCGAAAGTTTTCGGCGCGGAAATCGTGAGGATTCGAGTTTCTACCATCATTCGAAGGAAGCCACAATCATCGTCTGCTGCAGGGTATGCGCTGATCCCTCAATATGCGAGGGTCTCGCCAATTCCTGAAGCTCGGAGCGAAGCGAATAC